TATTTGCTTGCTTAAGATATAGTCTTTTAGTTGTAAGTCATTATATAAGTTTTAGAACTGTTGATCATATAACAGGAGTTAGTCAATTATGTTTTAAAGACCCAGATCTCTCTAGCTCACTTAAATTAAACAGATCCAAATGCATAAGTATAATTAAAAATATGCTGGCTCCTGTTATTAAAGACGAAATAATTTCAGAATTGGAAAATAAAACATTTTCTATTTTATTGGATGAGAGTACAGACCTGAGCAATACAAGACTACTATGCATTCTTGTAAGGTATATTCATAAAAATTCAATTAAAACCCATTTATTAGATATAATTAAAATAAACGCAGATGAAGGTACCGCCAAAGGTTTATATTCTCTTTTTAAAAAATGCGTTATATCCACTCAAGTAAAAATTACCAATATTGTTGGATACTGCTTCTACAACGCTAGCGTTATGATGGGCAATAACGAATCTTTCAAAACTTATCTTTTAAAAGATAATCCTAATATAATTGTCAATGGCTGCATTTGCCACTCTGCTCATTTAGTGGCGGTGGCGGCAGCTGAAAAGCTTCCAAGCAACGTTGAAGCTCTTTTACAAAACTTATATCTTACTTCTCAAGAAGCCCAAAAAGGCAGTGTGTTCTCGAAGAATTACAGGAATATTTCAAAAAGTCAAAATTAAAAATTTTAAGCCCTAGTAAAACAAGGTGGCTTGCTTTATCCAAATGTGTTGATAGAGTTTTGGATCAGTGGGACATCTTGCTTATCCTATTTAGATTAGCTTCCATTGAAGACAAACATCATGTAGCAAATGTAATACTTAATGAGTTACAGAATAAATTTGTTAAGGCGTATTTAATGTTTTTTAAATTCGTGTTGTCCATTTTTAACCAATTTAATGCTCTCTTTCAATAGAGAGTGAGCGATTTGTACGTCATCTATGTACAAACTTTATGCGACCAGAATATTTAAAAATGAGAAATTATATAATCTAAATCCTAATGATCCCCACTGCTTATTACCAATTGAACAAGTGAATGTTGGTCCGCATACAATGGATGCAATAAAACACTGCAATAACACGGCAATCGAACAATTTAAATTAAAATGTGTCACATTTTACCAAAAATCGGTAGAAGAGTCCCTTAAAAGATTTCCTATCAAAGACAACTTCTTTTCAGAGCTAAAGTTTCTCTCACCGGTTGATGTGATGAACAATCGTCTTATTATAAGTGATACCTTTCATGACGCCGTTTTAAAAAAATTTTGCACTTCATATTGAAACCGAAAAGGCAATTTTGGAAGTAAAGAAAATATGTATTTATTTTAGTGATAGTGAGAAAGAGGAAATTTTAAAAACAAAAAGTAATGTCATTGAATTTTGGTCGTTTGTAAACGACCTCAAAAATTTTAATGACGAATATTTATTTCGCAATATAGGTAAACTGGCTCTAATCATTTTAACATTGCCTCATGGAAACGCTGATGTTGAGCGAACTTTTTCTTATATGCTTGATTACAATACAAAAAAAAAGGAATAATATAATACCATCAACTTTGTCTGCACTACTTACAATTAAATTAGACTTGGAATCAAAAAAACAGTGCTGTTTATCCTATAGTTTTAATGAGAATCATTTAAACAAATATAAAAAGAATTTATATAATGTAATTAAGGAAGAACAAGCTGAAGAAGAAGTAATTTCTGATTCTGACTGTGAATAAAATAAGCAAACGTAGGCATTTCCACGTTTCCGCTTCTTCTTTGTCCTTATTTTTTGTTTTTTTTTTCTATTAAGATTAAGATATTGGTGATAGTTTCTATTTTTTTATTAGTTCCTAATTCTAAACCAAAGACAGTTTTGTTTTTTTAGGGGTATACTTTTTATGTTTTTACGAAAAATTGCAATTATATTATGTTACTGTTTGTATTTTTAGTAGGGTTTTTAGACAGTGTTTAAAAAAAAGTAAACATGTAAAAAATATATTTGTTGTTTATTTTAAGCCTCCCCCCCCTTAAATTTTTAGACCGTAGCGGCATGTAGCGGGATTTTGCGATACGTGTGACGGATATTTTAAACTTCGCTCTGGCAACACTGCATATATGACATATCCACAGACCTCAGGGTCATATGGTAGGTGGCGGTGGAAATACCTGCAAAAAATAGTGTTTTGGAAAAAAAAAACAAACATGAAAAGCGTGCTTCATCCACACTTTTTATGATCTACAATAATTTATCAGACTACCCTCTATAAGTTTCAAGTGAAAAAACAGTGAAATCCGAAGTTCTACAAGTCGCAACAGTACCCAGTGGGGCATTACGAAAAGTTCTGCCGCCGGTTTCAACCACTGAGAATTATCAGAAGTTCATAGATTACTTGTGATCTAACCAGAAGGATATTTGCAGACTATAACATTTCCAAGTTTTTATATGGCTCAATAATCAGTGATGATTTATTTTTGTCCAAAATAGTTTCCATACTTGATATGCGAAGCTCAGTATAATTTCAGTGGAATCGAAGCCATATGTTATTGAACAATGACATGGGTGCCCACAGGGCAGTGGTCTCTTCTGTGAATCCACTTTGACTTTAAAATTTTGCATATTTAGCATAGTTTTGTGTACAACTTTGAGAATTTTGTAGATTTGGTCCCCCCTGAGAAAATTGCTACTTCTGCTCATCAAAAAATTTTGGAGGCAGGTACAATTTCACAATAAGTTGTCTTGATGAGGATCAGCATCCCTGAGAAAAATTCCTGTCGGTAACCATTGACAATAATATTATTGTTCTAATAAAGAGAGAAATCTGAATTGTAGTAACATCAACACAGTTAAACTTTTTCCTAATTTTTAATTTATGCAGGTGCCAACAAAGGCTAGGGAATGAAAACATCTGGACCATAATAATGTTAATACTGATTTGTTTATAGAAAAACATATGAGATTTATATAATAAATATATTAGGTATTTGCAGTATATGTTTTTCTTCTAAAGCTTTCCAGATTAGTAAGTAGATATAAGTGGTCTTATAACAGCTTGTGTTATTGACGTTGCTATTTTAATATAGGAAAAAGCACTTATTCGTCAAGATGTTAATAACACATGCTGTCATAAGATCTCCCATATCCCACTAAATTTCTATACAGGGTGACTTTGAAGTTGAGTCATTAATTTTCAGATAATGATTGTAGAAGGGAGATAAACCAAAATATGTGTGTAAAAATAAAAAAAAAATTTTACCTTGTTTTATAAAGTATCATCCCGACAAGTATTTCAGTGCGGACCTGTATTTGATCTCGTGAGGTCTTGGAGCACCGGCATGCCGTCCATATGTGAGGTCTTAAGTCAAATGATTCACGAACCCGTTGTACTACATTAACAAAGGCACGAGGGGTTGGTTGCACTCGATTGGGAAACCGATCCGCATAAACATGTGCCATTTTTTATTTCGTTTGAGCCACGCAACAGACACCACTATCCACTACCGACTGACACTGACTGTATACAACTGAATGTAATAATTGTAAAAACATCGTTCCAAATTCTTTCGCTTTTTTGTTTCCGATGCGATGAACCGATAAGGCGAATTATATCCGTTGTCGCCAAACACGAGCACATAATATTATTATTGAGACAGGGCGGTACTCAAACTTCCAAAGGGCTATAACTTTGTTACTTTAATTTTACCAGAAAAATGGTAAAGGAAAAAAACATTTCTTTTGATGAGATCTACTCACTGTTAAAATAAATGACTCAACTTCGAAGTCACCCTGTATACAGGGTTATCCAAATTAAGTGTCCACCATTAGTAACTTTGTTATTAGTGAAAATACAAAGTTGTTTGAATTAGCAAACTAGTAGCATTTTTAACGCTGGTAAAAATGAGAAATAAAAAAAAACAATTGAGAGTCGTTATTTTGATTTTTTTCAGTAAAATAACATTTTTTTAAATGGAAACCCCTGTATATTATATTTTTTTCTGTTAAAGCATCAAATTTTAAACAAAAAAGCTTACAATAACTTTTCTCCTAGGTTACAAATTGTTGAAGTTATGGCCTCCAATCTGAAACAATTAAATTGTATCGACAAACTTTATTTTCAACATCAACTTATAATCTTACAAAATACAATAACAATTTTTTTTAAAGAAGATGCTCGAAAACACCACCTTGTTCTTCAATACATTTTTGGGCACGTTTTTCAACTGCTCGAACTGTCTTAAGTATGGTCCTACCATCTATCTGTAAACAAGTATTTACACTAATGTTTGACATTATTTGATTTTATCATTGTTTTCCAAAGCCTTCTAGTTGCGAGTATGTCCAGTTTAACAATTTGTCGCTTATCTTAATGCTGTCAAATCGCGAACGACATGTTGTTTTCATAGCCGTCTTAATATTATAATACTGCAAATAATTAAAAATATTTATCGTTATTTTGACTTTATTTTTGACTTTAGCGGAAAAGTCATTATGAACTTTTTTGTTTAAAATTTGATGCTTTAACAGAAAAAAATATAATATACAGGGGTTTCCATTTAAAAAAATGTTATTTTACTGAAAAAAATCAAAATAACGACTCTCAATTGTTTTTTTTTATTTCTCATTTTTACCAGCGTTAAAAATGCTACTAGTTTGCTAATTTAAACAACTTTGTATTTTTACTAATAACAAAGTTACCAATGGTGGACACTTAATTTGGATAACCCTGTATATAAAGTATGGCAATCTCAGATTTATTTGTAGAGCTGGCAATGTTGTGGGTTATTAATGCACAATCTGGCAACCGTTTCGCACCCTCAAAAAATGGCCGCTGACAACCACACAAGCCACCGTGTTGCCATTGAGTAGCATGGAATTAAACCTTCTTCAGTGTATTGTATATTTTATCGTAGACAGCTTGTTTTGGACTTGGAGTGCAAGGGTTTGCAAAAACATCCATTCCAAGATTACTTTTCCTTTAAAGAACTGGACAAAAGTAAAAGATACATATAAAAATAAAGCCTCAACGTTTTGTTATTTTTTTATTATAGAAAAACGCCTAGAACAAAACAATACACCACTGAATCAATGTTTATTCAAAGTTTATGGTTGATCATCATACATTATTATTTACATAAGAACACTAACAATTTTTTGTCTTTAGTCACTTAGCTCCTGCTTGCGATGATCTGACTCCTTTTATTATCTACACATTGTTGGAAAGCTTGAACAACTTTGGCGCATCTCATTGGCTCATTGGGATAACAGGAGTAACATTCCATCACTGCTTTCTTTGAGTCCAAACATGGGGGCTCAATCTTCTTTGCTACTGGGGTCCTCTTGCCTGACATCTCTCCAATCTAGAAGTCACAGGTGACAATTAAAACGTTCTTTTGTTGAACAAATAAGATGCAGGATGCCCCAGTATTCACAATTTGATTTTTTAATAAACGAACTAGAATCTTGGCTACAATTTATAAATATTATTCTTCAAATGCCCATGACTGTTTTATTCAGAAAATGCAAATTGTCACTTTCACAAGTGTGAATAAATTTACACTCATGCTCTGACAAATGTTACAAATGTCAAAATCAAAACAATTGAAGATTTACCCAATAGGTAGTGACTGATGATGATTCTGTTAATAATGATACATTAGCATTTTCTTCTGCATATTTTCTAAAAAAAGTGAAAAAAGCTTATTCTTACTGCTCTCTGGGCTTCTTGTTCCATAATTTCATTCATCTTCTTGTGTTTCTCTTCTAACTGCTTCAATCTTTCTTCCCAATATTCATCATTCTTCTTCAGTTCTGCCACGTGTGCCTGCCGGAGTTGAAGTGTGGTTAGACTAGGTTCTTGAAGGAAAAGTGGAGCTGTCATAATTTGTGGAGTACTGTGCTGTGAAGAATATGGATCTGGATGCCTTACCACTAAAACAAGAACATTTCTTACCCAAAAAGCATTAACTCACATATTTCACTAGAAGATACTCAATGCAATAACAGCAGAATTTATTGATTAAGGGGAAGTTCATAGGGCTCATGAGATTAGGAAGAAGAATTTCATTTCAAACTGACAATTATATTTTTTTCTCTTCAAATACTCTGAGAACCTTGCCTTAACCTGTTTATAACCTTAGACATGACCATCATCTACTTCTTGATTCCAGATTACTCGACAAGTCAACCACTATCTCTATGTGGCAGCATTTCTACCTCTCAGAGTTTTACTACAGGCTTTGAGAATCCTTTTTCTGTCATTGAGTAATGTTGAGAATATCTAATCTTAGCAATAATTATGAGGCAGTTTGAATGAAAGTCTTTCCTTTTAAGGTTGATGTCATGGCTCAAACGGACGTGTTTGCTTTCCATCTATGTAACCATAACCAACTGTGCTGCTTCTTGCTGATTCGCATGTCATCAGTGTTGTATAGGATCTAGTTTTAGCCTTGAAAACAGACAAAATGGCAAGTAAATGGCCTTTCAAAAAGCTCAAAATTTTTTGTGTAAGTAGGGATGATGACAAAAATCAGCTTCGCAAACCATCAGTACGTGGTGATCATCAGATTTTTACCTACTTCTGTAGATTGATATTATCATGTTTAATAATCAAGTTTCTTTAAAAGGAAAATGTAGACTGTTTTTATTACTCCTAAGGGATTTACTGGATCCTAATGGGCAACATAGTTGTGACATGGGAATTTTTAGGATTGAGATTGCTAATGATATAATGAAAATCATGAAGACCGACATATACCACATCTACATATAGATTTATGGAACATAGAGCACCACTCTGTCTACCTAATTCTAGGGGTGCAAATAAATCGATAATAAAATATTAATTTCAGATGTTTGATGTTCATAATTACTTTTTTTCTGTCAAGGCAAAATATTTGTGTATGCATTATGTAATATTAATAAATAGGTCTATAAAATTGCTGTATATATGAACATTGTAGATATAATTCAATAGTTTGTTTCTTCGAACATTCTGGTATAAAAAATGAAAATAGACCAGAAAATGTATTTTAAAAAATTTATTAAAAATCTAAAATAAACCTAACCTTAGCAAGATTATTTTACCTTGATTTCCTCGAATGCGGTCCACAACATCTTCTGATACTTTTATAACGCTTGTAGGATCATCATTTTCTACCGTTAATTTTCTTGTTTTGCTAGGAGAACCGCCCATTTTAATTTATTTTCTTTAAACTTTGTGAAAAATGAATTTTCGGCCAACACACATATCTGCATCTGCAAATCTGCATGACATTTACAATTGACATAACGTCAACATGACGTAAAGACAGATGAATCAAATCCAAGCGAATAACCAAAATTTCTGTGTTATGTGCTGCGGTTATAATATGGTTCAAGATGACACACGGGTTGATGACGTCAGTTACACGAATCGCTTGAACGCGTTGGTTTTAACCGCGGTTTTGTTGCAAATTGTTTATTTTAGATAAGCGCGTATATAATCTCTGATTATTTTTATTATCACTTAATAATCGGTGCTTTTTCGTCTACAACTGTATATGGAAAGTTTAAATAAGAAACCTTTCATAATATTCATGAGAGAAATGTTTTTTGCAGATTTTTTTTTTAATGATGGAACCATGGCTTTGTAGCTATGATAACTTTCAATTCTCTAAATTTTTCCGCATGTCAAAGAAAACATTTATTGATTCAGCAGAAATGATGAAAAAAGAAATTAGCAAAACCGTATACAGGTGGATATCATCTAGTGAGTTTATATGGCCATATTTTAATATTCTTGTGGTATATGGCTACACAGGATACTTTGTTAAGCATAGGAACTACATTTAAAGTGTCCTAAACAACCGAAATGAGTATAACTAATAAGGTGCTCCACTTTATGGTAAAACTGAAGTCAGCCTGTATCAATTTTCTCAAAAATGAAGCTGAAGTACAATAACAATATCCAATACCCGGCAGAATTCTAACTTGTCACATTTCAAATAATAACCAGAAATATAAAACTACTCTTGAGTTGGGTAAATACCACAATTTTGCGGTGATTACTATGACATATAACAGCTGATTCGTGACGTCACGGATCTTATAACCAAACTGATAACTACACTCGCTTGAACGGATCGGTAAATACCAACCCAAAATGGTAAATACCATTTCCATTTGGTTATCCGCTTGAATTTGATTATTATGTCGCTCTCTTCTAATCAGTATTCAAACTAAATTATTGAATTTGATGATACAGTTATCTTTTTAATTTGTTGTATCTGCCATCTACCGCTCAACAGTCTAAAAGTTCCTATCAGGCGAATACAGGGTGTTCCAATGTATAACTAGTAATTGGGATGAGAATTCCACGAAGTGTAAAGAACACAAAAAAATGTTCAGATCTTAAGCTATTCAATCGCCACGACTCAAGAAGAGTGTCCAAAACATACAGAGCCGTAGAAATAATATATATATATATATATAACTTGAGACGTGGTCATTGTCGTCTAGACCAGTTAGGTGAAAAATTAAAGCTTCCGCCTTTTGTTGGGTACTTCGACAAAATTTAAGCAAAGAGGACTCTATACTTTTTTAATTCTCTCTAGCTTTCAATGGACTTTGCCATCATCATCAGGAGCTGCAATTACAATGATAACAGTAGCAACAAAAGTGTAAAATGAATTTAAATTGAATCAACTTACAGTAGTATGTGAGGATGTTGCTAATTGTTGTTTTCGTATAGGATATATATATATATATAATACAGCACTGCAAATTACACTAAGTATCTCATTGTAACAACAGAAGACGAAAACACATTTTGTCCTACTTACTACTCTCATAAGGTATTTTATGGGTACCCATGAAAAAATCAAAAATGCATGCGAACCTAGACGAGGACATGTTTTTCGCATCGAGAAACTGAGTAAGTAGTTTCCAGTGATGGGCGTTTACCCATATACATTAATTGCCTACGTCTCGATGTATACAATGTGTATACAATGAATACAATATATACATTACGTATACAATGGATTCAATGATGAAGACAAATTATTAAGTGAGGTTTATTCGCAAACGTCAGAAAGTTGGTAAACAGGGAACCGACAACTTAAAAAAATATGGTTGGACGCTCCAAGAACAAAGAAATCGATGAACTTGGGTTCATTTGTTGTTCTTAATTTATTAAAAACTGTATCTGTGTATACGTTTATAAATAACTATTATATATTTTTTCATTATTTATAAACTGCTTCCATAGTCAAACCAATAATGCAATGCTGCAGAATTTGTATCCATCCTGAACTTTCAGTTCCACCTAAGAGGAGAACCATTAGTATCAATCTGGAATTGATCCCAAACAGATTCGACAGAAATGTGTGTAAAGCATAGAAAACAATGCGTTGCAGCAAGTTATAGTTGTGTTCTGTGGCCTTCATCACTGTTGTGCCAGGACTGCCAGGCAACGTGGTGTGTGGCGCACTATTTCTACACAAGTGGTGCCCGCTTGTCCCCCTCTCTCTCTTCCTCGTACACATGGAAATATAAAAGGGAAAGGGACTTTCGCCAGCACTAGGTATATGCAAGTAGTTGAACTATGATTTGCTATTGTATACGTTATATATACGTACATTCTATAATTGTATAAGTGAATATCAAGACGTATACATATATCCACCATTGTATACGCGTATACAATGGTGTATTTATTATACATGGTGTATACAATGCGTCCATCACTGGTAGTTTCCGAATCAGACGTTCATACAACGCTAGACTTACAAAGAGTCCCTAAAGCAACCAATTTTTTACATCACATTCGACCCTCCGACACTCCCTGTATTTCTTGACCATCTCATTGTTTTCAGCGCACCAAAAACTACCCAAAATTAAGTCACATATATGTACGTAGTCGTGCCATAAGTTCTGTCCCATGATAATCTCATGATAAAAATGAAACAAGATAAGATATATTTATATGAAAGATATTATTTATTCGACAACATTTTTAGAATTCATAATCAAACAGTTTTATTCAAAATGTCCCCCCTTGGCCTTCACACACTGCTTCAATCTCGCGGGCCACTCATCTATCACTGCACGCACAGCTTCCAAAGGAATAGCTGCCGCTGATCGGATCAAATCCGCTTTCAGGGACTCGATATTACGGTGGGCTTTGGAGCAGGCCAACTGCTCTAGCAGGTCCCACAACTTGTAGTCTAAAGGATTGAGGTCCGGACTCCCTGAGGGCCAATCTTCCGCAGCAATGAACTCTGGCACATTGCTTTCCAGCCAGCGCTGCGTACTCTTAGCCTTGTGAGCGGGGGCGGAATCCTGCTGGTAGACCCAGTGTTGGTTGGCAAACAATGTACCACTTAAAGGCTTGACGATAGGATCCAGTATGTCGCTCTGATAGTTTGCCGCTTTTGTTTTCACGCCCTGTTTACAGAAATGGAGCTGAGTGACCCCTTCGTAGGACACCCCCCACCAAACCATGACTGACGCAGGGTGGTGGCCTCTCTCAACTCTCGGAATGATCTCCGAAGCTTCCTGTGAACTCCTTGCATACACTTTGTCATTTTGTCGGTTGAATTTTTCTTCTATGGTGAAGATTTTCTCATCCGTGAACAAAATCTTTCGGAATCCCCCAGCTGCGTACCTCTCCAAGAGCTTCTTGGATCTTGTCGCCCTGATGTGTCGCAAGGTGGCCGTAAGTCGCTGGCCCGTACGTCTCCGGTAAGCCCCTAGCCCTAGGTCTTGTTTAATGATGCGCGACATCGTCCGGACAGGAATCTTCATTTCCCTGGATAGGATCTTCTGCTTCCGGAGTGGATTCCTTTGAATCCTGGCTTTTACGGCTTTGATGGCTGCTGGAGTCCTTACTTGACGAGGTCTTCCGCTTCTTGGCCTGTCATCAACAGAGGACGTCTCATTGTACCGCTGAATGGTCCTAGACACAAATTTACGCGATATTTGAAGGCCGCGTAAGAGTTCAAAAATCTGACTAGCACTGTGATTACACTTATGTAAAGCTATCACTGCAATACGGTTCTCTGCCTTGCCCCACTCCATCGTTATGCTTCGAGAGATCAATACAAACTGAGGTATATGTAATTACCCGAAAAGCGCTTAATCAACTGACACCACAATGTAAACAATCGGACAAGTATTAACAGGTCTACACTTGTTTGAAAACGAGGGACAGAACTTATAGCATGACTACGTATAAATTACTTTTTACTGACGTTTCGGTTTCTACGGTGATCTTTTTTCAAGTGTAGATAATGACAATGACAATAGGTACATAGTTCTTTTCAGGTTTTTGGCGGTTAATACGTGTACGAAGCAGATAAACATCTTGAGTAACTATATAGTTTTTAGAGCTGTTTGTTTTGCTGCTTCATTTTATGATCTTCCTTATTTCGATTTTGCGCAGCAGCGATACAATCCTTCATTATCCGTTATCGAAGTAAGACATCTTAGTTATGGACAATATGGGATGGAATTATTTCCAACATAAAACATATATTATGATGAATTTGTGAAGCTAGATAACAAGAATGAATGGTACTATTAGCGCCATCTGTTGAGAATCGCGCCAGGGACTCTCCCTCGGCATCGAAGCGAGGTGTGAGACTGACCCCGAGTGGTACTACTAGCGCCATTTGTTGGGAATCTCGCCAGGGACTCTTCTTCGGCTACGAGAACTGACCCTGAAGGTTCTGGACTGGTCGCTATGTGGCGTACCAGAACTTTCTCAAATTAACGAGTACCTGCGATACGGAAGTTGAGTCATTTATTTTAACAGTGAGTAGATCTGATTAAAAGAAATGTTTTTTCCTTTAACATTTTTCTGGTAAAATTAAAGTAACAAAGTGATAGCCCTTTAGAAGTTTGAGTACCGCCCTGTCTCAATAATAATATTATGTGCTTGTGTTTGGCAACAAC